GAATGCAAGCATTTCCTAGACCAGCCGTGGGCAAACTATGGCCTGCGGGCCGGATCCGGCCTGTTTGAAATGAATAAAACTATTGAAGAAAAAGACCGTACCCTTTTATGTAGTGATGTTTACTTTGAATTTATATTAGTTCACACAAACACTCCATCCATGCTTTTGTTCCGGCCCTCCGGTCCAGTTTAAGAACCCATTGTGGCCCTCGAGTCAAAAAGTTTGCCCACCCCTGTCCTAGACCTATTCAGTATAAATTTAAAATTACTGTAATACATATAGAAAACTTTTCTGTGATATTAAACTTTTCATAAATACTAAATTTTAATTGCACAAACATCTACATAAGTAAAAACAGGTAAACTAATTTGTAATTTTTTTAACTACACATTAGGAAAACCTATTTATACTAATAAAAGGGTAATATGCTAATTAGACTGGGAGACCTTCCGGACGTCCTTCCAGACAAAGCCATGGTGGCGGGCCAAGGCAGGGCGAAGGCAGGCAGGTGAGCACTTAGGAGCCAGTGGTCCCAGATTGCGAGAGGGATGTCCAACTGTCTGTGGGATCAGGCCTAAACTGGCAGTTGGACATCCCCTGAAGGATCCCAGATTGGAGAGGGTGCAGGCCGGGCTGAGGGACACCCCTCCATGCATGAATTTTGTGCATTGGGCTACTAGTTACAATAAAAAACATAATATGCAAATCGATTGGCCGAACAGCAGAGCGACTGTCTGGACGACCTTCCAGATGACCTTCTGGATGAAGCCACAGCTGTGAGGGCCTACTCTTGCACGAATTTTGTCCATCAGGCCTCTAGTCTATATATATAATAGCCTAAGTGACTGACCAACCATTAGCTATGTTGCGCACTGACCACTAGAAGGCAGACCACCAAACCACAGGCTTGGAAACATGGAACAGACTGATAAATCTCAGAGGGAAGGGGAAGGGGGGAGGGCGGGAAGAGATTAACCAAAAATCTTACATGCATACTAGAAGACCATGGGGTCTTTCATCCTGGCCTGTGCCTTCTCACAATCCGGGAACCTTTTGGTCCAATCCCCACAGGCCAGGCCAAGGGACCCCACTGGTGCACGAATCCGTGCACTAGCCCTCTAGTCTATATCTTATCTAATAATAGACAAATATGGTAATTAACCGTAACTTCGCTACCCTTCCCACTGGCTAATCAGGGCGATATGCAAATTAACTGCCAACCAAGATGGTGGCCAGCAGCCAGGCAGCTGAAGCGAACAGGAGGCTTGCTTGCTCTAGTGATGGAGGAAGCCAACGTTCCCTGCCTGCCGCTGCCGACCTCTGAGCTGCACTGTAAGAAACAATGTTGTAATTATAGAAGCTAAACAAACCCCAGACACCTTTCAGCTGGCTGGGCCTCAGAGCTGGAGCTGCAACAGTGTTTCAATTATAGAAGCCAAACAAACCCAGATACCTGCTTTCAGCAGTCGAGGTCTCAGAGCTGGCGCGA